GACTAAAGTGCTTTGTGAGAGACTAAAGTGTGTAGGTGTGAGAGAGACTAAAGTGTGTGTGAGAGATTAAAGTGTGTGTGAGAGACTAAAGTGTGTGTGTGTGAGAGAGACTAAAGTGTGTGTGAGAGACTAAAGTGCTTTGTGAGAGACTAAAGTGTGTGTGAGAGACTAAAGTGTGTGGGTGTGAAAGAATAAAGTGTGTGTGAGACTAAATTGTGTGAGAGACTAAAGTGTGTGTGAGAGACTAAAGTGTGTGTGTGAGAGACTAGATTATGTGTGAGAGACTAAAGTGTGTGTGAGAGACTAAAGTGTGTGTGCGTGAGAGACTAAAGTGCTTTGTGAGAGACTAAAGTGCGTGGGTGTGAAAGAATAAAGTTTGTGTGAGAGACTAAATTGTGTGTGAGACTAAAGTATTTTGTGAGACTAGAGTTGACTTGGCTTTGTAATAATACCTAAGTTACAATGAATCACGTGTTCGAGAGGGCTCTGTACACCTGCATCAATCAAGACATATATTTATTTATTGTTGTACCTATGTTGTTATAGATCTGGTTCTACTTACAGTAAATATTGGAAATTAATCCAACTTGCAACATTTACTGCGACCATTTCCAGGTACACGGGAACTCTTTAATCACCTTGTATGTTCCGTGTTGCAGTCCATGTTGCAGAGTGTGCCATGCAGCTCCCCAATTTATTTCTTTAATGAACAAGATGTGTTTAATTGCGTCACCTGTTAACTTTAGATGAGAAGGGGAACCTTTTCATCTGATCTAACCTAACCTAACCTAACCTAACCAAAAATAACAAACTAACCTTACCTACAATAACAACCTAACCTAACCTAACCTAACCTACGACGTCCTAAGCGAAACAGAACAAATTTAAAAACCAACATTTTTATTTTCATTAAGTTGCAGCCATAAAAACAAAAAGTTGTCCCTATTTAATAGACACGTCAGTTACTTTTCAGAGCTTATTCGGGTATTATCCATAATAAGTGTGATGTAAATATGTAGTGGGGAAAAAAACTGGTGATCACTTAAGTCTGGGAGCTGTACCGTTACCGGGTGATTACCAATGACCTCCCCGATTTAAAGAAAATATATGAAAAATTAACTATGATACTTTTTCCTCTACGACTGTGTCAAAAGGATGTGTTTTATTCTGATAATGCCAGGTTGTTAAAAAAGTCCAGTATAATCAGCTACAAAATTCATGGAGGTAAACAGACTACCGCTTTGATGTTTACAGAGCCTCTCACGATCGTCATATTGAAATTGTATAGCTTGAAAATATAACTTTTTGAGTTCTTCTTCATTAGTATATCTTGCTTCTTTATGTAGCTTTCTTAGTTTTTATAATATAAATGGATAAACAGATACAGAGAGAGAGAGAGAGAGAGAGAGAGAGAGAGAGAGAGAGAGAGAGAGAGAGAGAGAGAGAGAGAGAGAGAGAGAGATAAACTCATTCGGAAACTTGCACTACATTATACACCTGGTTCCACACAATTGCACACCTGACTTATATAATTTCATGCTTAGTCGAGGAGGAAGGAATTTCTCTCAGAATTCATCAAAACAATCACTCGTCTCTGCCTGTCGTCACACTGAGACATTTAAAAAACCCTGGAGACATTTACAAAGGAGATTCTTATTGGTAACGGTGATGAATATCTGTGATGAATTTAAGAAGGAAAGAGAGATTAAAGGTTAAATTCCCTGTGGAAACATTTACGATGGAAAAGTTAATAGGTAACGCTAATAGTAAATAATGTTATATTATTTGATAGTACGAAAAAATCTTAAATATAGAGTGAATGAAATGAATTATATTTTTCTCTTGAACTGAGTCATAAAGTATGGCTAACTGTGTTGACATTTACCAAAGGAGTATTTATAGGCACTAAACGTTAATTGGGAACAATGTTGAAACTGTTATTTTGATATTTCTCTTAAAATTAAAAAAAAATTAAAAAAATTGAACAACTCTTTTTAAGATCTGAAACAACGTTAAAGTTTGTGTCAACAATTTAATGGGAATAATTTTTTTTTTCTCTCTCTCTCTCTCTCTCTCTCTCTCTCTCTCTCTCTCTCTCTCTCTCTCTCTCTCTCTCTCTCTCTCTCTCTCTCTCTCTATATATATATATATATATATATATATATATATATATATATATATATATATATATATATATATATATATATATATATATATATATATATAATTAATTTGATTTTGTTTATATATTATGTAATTACATAAAAATGCACACCTAAAAATAGTTATTATAAATAAACTATTATTCTCTTGAATTGAGACAAAAAATAATAAATGCTGGTGTACAGTAGACACTTGTTAAACCATTATGGTTAGAATATAGATACAATATCTTAATAATGGATAATATTGACATTATTTCTTCACATAATATAACTTAGACATGAAACATTGACAAAAAATTTTAACCTTCAACTGAGATTAAAAGAATATATTAGTGTAGATGTTTATTGACGTACGTTTTATAGTTAATGAACGTTAATAGTGAATAACATTATCCAGACAAAAATACTAAATGGATAAAAATGCATTAATGGTGTTGCTGTATTATCTAGACTATCATAAAATTTTGTATAGGCCAACATACATTATTAAAATTATCTTAAAAGGAGGCGTAAAAGTGTGTAGAGGTTTACTGAATAATAATACTGAAAAACGTTAACTCTGTTTAGATTATAATTATATATATATATATATATATATATATATATATATATATATATATATATATATATATATATATATATATATATATATATATATTCCGAAGCACTAGTAACTAAACTTCATCTCACAAGACAACAATTAATGACATCAATTAGTCTGTGTTGGAGGTTTACTCAACAACTCCAATACACTGTAGCAGGTGGTGGAGCATTGTGACCAGCGATTACACTCCACACTTAATGGATGATCGTGTCGCCAGTTGAACCTTTAAGTCTTTATACAAACTGCAGGTGATTTTCGCCCAGTGGTATTACATTGTTGACCCGAGTAAGTGGGTGAGAGAGGGAGGGAGAGGTGTGGTATTAGCGAGGGAGAGAAAGAGAATACTGTACAGTGATTTGTGTTTTAAACTTTTACAGCTGTGAAAAAATAGACACGCCTTCACTCACACAAACACACACACACACTACAACTACTAGTTTACTACTTTGCTGTCACTCGGAATCGAGCATGACGATCATCCAGCTATGATACAATGATATGAGTTATTATGGATGTCACCTAGGTTGGTGAGTTTTGAGGTGACTAAAGAGGCCGATACGGGACCCGCAGGGTCGTCTGCATTTGTTACACGTGTGGAGGGTTCCATCTAGTGCAGGAGGGGCGGTGGCAGCGTCTTTCCGGCGTTGGCGCTTGTTTGCCTCGGTTTGCAGTCAGCCTAACTCGAAAGTATTGACACCTTCTCGTGTGGTGCTCCTCCAACCGTTACGATGTGGAGTAATCGACTCCCAGGTGAGGGGGTCGATTTGGCACTTTTTTCAGGTTTGTCTTGCAACTATCCTTATACCTTTTCAATTGCCCTCCATCCTTACGTTTACTATTCGTTAAGTGACTGCAAAGTAGCTGCTTTAGCAGTCTAATGTCGTCCATGCGGGCAACATAGCTAGTCCAAGGTAGCTGTTCATTGATAATGGTAGCCTCCATGCTCCTACAGTTGGTGTCAGCAAGAATACTGGCATTTGTTCTCTTGTCTTCCCAGAAGACTCGGAGGATGGAACGTAGACTACGTTGGTGAAAGATTTCAAGTGCCTTGATGTGCCTCCTTTATGTGAGCCATGTCTCACTGCCATATAGCAGGGTGGGGAGGACCACTGCTCGATATACATGCAGCTTTGTAGATAATTTTAGCTCCCTACAGCTGAAGACACTGTTTCGTAGTCCTCCAAAGGCTTGAGATGCACATCTAATCCGTTGCTGAGTCTCTTCATCAATGTCTGCGGTGGTGGACAGGTGGGAGCCGAGATACCGAAAGTGGGTATCATTAGAGAGGGTAGTACAGTTAAGCTGGATGGATGGTGGAGGTGTGTATGAACGAAGTGCGCATACACATCTGCGTAGGTGTTTAGGATCTCCTGTATGCGTGTTCAGTGTGAGCTACAAGGATGGGGTCGTCTGAAGTTCAGTAATGGAAGCTGACGACACCATTGTTCTTTCCTGGAGTCGTCTTATGTTGAAAATACCTCCCTTCACCTGGTACTCGATGTCCACCCTGCCGGCTAAATTGGCAATGGTACGAGTAAGGAAGGCAGTCAAGAAAATGGAAAAGGGAGTTGGTGCCAGTACACACCCTTGTTTAACCCCTGTTTGGATGAAGAAGAACTCAGACTGGGTGCCGTTGTGCAGGACACTGCCTTTCATACGATCGTGGAGTTGCCTCACTATGGCGATTAATTTTGGCGGGCAACCAAAACGGCTGAGGGTGCACCAGAGGGCTTCCCTGTTGACCGAGTCGAAGGCCTTCGTTAGGTCGATGAAAGCCATGTACAGGTCACGACGCTGTTTTCTGCACTTTTCCTGTATCTGGCGGGCAGCAAAGATCATGTCAGTGGTGCCACAAGATGGTCTAAAACCATATGAGATTCTGGGAGGAAGTTTTCCGCCTCAGGATGGAGTCTGTTTAGGAGGACTCGGGCGATAATCTTGCCAGCTACGGAGAGCAGCGAGATCCCACGGTAGTTGCCACAGTCTGACCGGTCTCCCTTGTTCTTATAATTATTGACAATGGAAGCGTCATTAAGAGCTTGGAGGATTTCCTCCTTTTCCATATATAATTCCAGGAGAGAGTGGAGACTGTTGTTAAGCAGAGGTCCTCCTGCTTTATACACCTCGACTGGGATTCCATCAGGTCCTGAGGCTTTGTTATTTTTCCTCTGTTTGATGGCAGTATCTATCTCATCCAGGGATGGAGGATAGCTGTGGTGAGTCAGCTCTGGATGCTGAGAGACTTGCTGGATAGTCAAGACATCTACATCAATGTTTCCTTTGAGCAGTGTGGTAGTGCTCTTTCCATCGCTGAAGGTGGGCCTTCATCGTCTTTAATTATGAAGTTACCGTCATATAAGCAGAGGGGGCTGCGCCACGAGTGGTTGGCCCATAAAATGTTTTAATGAAATTGAAAAATTCGCGCATCATGTGCTAATCTGCATGTTTTTGTATTACACATGCCTTATTTTCAAGCCAGTCATTCTTTAGAAAGCGAAGTTCCCGCTGGGCTGCCGCTTTCTTCTTGCGGAAGGTACCAGTCAGTAAAAGCAGCACGTTTATCATCGATGAGTACTTTGATTGAAGGGTCATTTTCATCAAACCAGTCCTGGTGTATTCCTTTGATCTGACCGAGGGTCTGTCTGCAGGTTTTTGTCATAAGAATGTTGAGAGTTTCCCATTCGGAACTGGGATTCGCATTGTTTGCTGCTGGGTTGTTTATAAGTCCAAGTTCGAGCTACTCTCTGAAAGCATATGCTACTGCTGGTTCCTTCAGATGCTTAGTATTAAAACCTCTTCTGGAGGCTTGCTACCTTCGCCATTTTGGGGCGACGTGAAGTGAAGGCTTGGCCCTGACAAGTCAATGATCAGTGTTACAGTGGTCTGAACCACGCATGGCATGGGTGATGTGGACATCACGGCGATCTCTTTCTCTAACAATGATGTAGTCAATGAAATGCCTGTGTTTGGATAACGGGTGTTGCCACGAACCCTTGAACTTGTCGGCCTACCTAAACAGGGATTGGTGATAGTGAGGCTTTATGCAGCACACTTGCTGAGGAGGAGTAGGCCGTTGGCATTACACTTGCCCAGTCCATTTCTCCCTTTGGTTCCCTGCCAAATGCTAACATCTCTGCCAACTCTGGCATTGAAGTCGCCAAGGAGCACAACCTTGTCTTCTCTAGGGATAGAGGTTAGTACTCTGTCGAGGTCCGCGTAAAAGGCCTCCTTCATGTAATCATATGCATCCAGTGTTGGGGGGGTATGTACTGATGAAAAAGACATGACGGGAGTGATTCGGTAGGACTCGAAGTGTCATGAGACGCTCGTTGATCCCAATAGGCATTTCAGTTAGCCTGTATAGGATGCGTTGGCGGATGGCAGAGCAACTCCATAAATGCGTTTTCTCTCTGCAGCAGGCCTATCCTTCCAGAAAAAGGTATAGCCAGACCCCTGTTCCGTGAGCTGGCCCTCACTTGGGAGCCAGGACTCACTGATAGCTGCTATGTGGATGTTATACCTAGCCAGCTCTTTTGCCACAATGACAGTTATTTTTTCAGGATGCTCATTTGTGCCAATATCCAGAAGGGCCCTGACATTCCATGCAACGACCATAAGAGGTTGTTCGGTTTGTTTTTGTTTTTATCTGTGATTATGATCATGTTTTTGACTGCATAAGGATGACCTTTCTGGGTGTGCTTGCCCAGTCAGGTTGGGTTTTTGGGCAGGCTATGTTTAGGGCACCTTTTCTAGCCCCCTCCCCATGTGAGGTGAGCAGAGGCGCTCTTCGAAAGGGCTGCTCAGTCGCACAGACAGGGCCGGATTGCACTGCTTTCCTAGATCCGAATTGCATAAACGACCATCTTATCTGTACCGCCCATGTGCAGAGTTGTGACTAGAGACTCCCGGCAGTCATCTCTGCCTGTCCCCGTCGCCACTCGTCCGTCTCCATCAGACTTTTGGAGGTATAGGGGTTTTGATGATGATGAGAGATAAGATGAACTGGATGATGGCTGCGCATGAGTTGATTTATATGGTGAGACAGGAGTGCAGGCTGCAACCACACATGTTGGCTCTCCCTTTTCCTGATCCAGTGGTGCAAGTGTTGCAATGATTGGGGAGAGGGAGAGTTGCAATGGACTGCCGATAGCCCAGTTTGTTGGGTTTCGCCTTAGTAGCCTGTCCATCAGGCATTACCTTTTTCCGCCGGTGTAGTTATTGGGTTTCCACTGTGGTCGCCTCTTCCGCCTATACTGCCATTGGGGGCTTGTTGGAGCTCTGTGATTATGTCTGCCTGATGCGGGGCTCCACCGTATATTTTTCGTTTGGGGTTTACTCCCGTAGCCTTATGCCTACCAAGGTTAATCCACAAGGCAGCGGGGCAATGGCCGGTAGGCGCCAGAACGTGTCCACATGCCAGTGGGCCTATGCGCCGTTCCTCTGGGGGCCACTGCTACTCCGAGATCCCCTGTTGGTCTAGTCTGGAACCACGAGGCACCCAGTTACCGTGTGCTACCACATGGAGGCACAACAGGAGTCTTGATGGTGAAGAGGCTGTGTACTGTCAGGGGAAGACTTATGCAAGTTGCTTCCCTGTTCGCCACGAGGGCTAACCAGGTAGCTGAAAGTGAGAGGGAGCAAGCAGTGCCCTCACCTTAACACTAACAAAGTGCATCCACACTAGACGCATTTCACCACCCTGTGTGCGACACACACACACACACATACAAACACACACACACACACACACACACACACATACACACACACACACATACACACACTGCGGAACCAACAGGTACAGACAGAGCAGCAGGCACTAAAGCGATCGATCACACCCCTCTGGCCAGCACACATAATGCTACAGATATGAGGAAAGATTAGTCCCATGTGAGGAAGAAAACTATAATTTGGAACACACATTCCGGCAAATTTTTACACACAAGAGATTCTTCCGTTTAAGTTTTCACGAGTTTACTGTCTCATTTTGATAGATAGATAGATAGATGGATAGATAGATATAGATAGTTAAATAGATAGATATAGATAGTTAAATAGATAGATAGATAGATAAATAGATAGATAGACAGCCAGCATCAAGGAATATAAAATTACACTTCAGAATTACCTCCTGGACGGCCACTGGCATCTCGGCCTAGGGAGGTGAAACACAATGCTCACATCTATTATTGTTGACTTAATTTACTAACTTGATATTAACGTTATTGTCTGAAGATGAAGAAGGGCGTGTGAAGACGTGGGAAGGCGTGTGGAGACGGGTGAAGCGTGTGAAGACGCGGGAGGGCGTGTGAAGACGTGGTAAGGAGTGTGAAGACGTGGTAAGGATTGTGAAGACGGGATAAGGAGTGTGAAGACGTGGTAAGAAGTGTGAAGACGTGGTAAGAAGTGTGAAGGCGTGGTGAGGAGTGTGAAGACGTGGTAATGAGTGTTAAGACGTGGTAAGGAGTGTGAAGACGGGATAAGGAGTGAAGACGTGAAGACGTGGATAGGAGGAGTAATGAGTGTTAAGACGTGGTAGGGTGTGAAGACGGGATAAGGAGTGTGAAGACGGGATAAGGAGTGTGAAAAGGGGATAAGGAGTGTGAAGACGGGAGGGCGTGTGAAGACGTGGTAAGGAGTGTGAAGACGTGGTAAGGAGTGTGAAGACGCGGGAGGGCGTGTGACGAGGTAAGGAGGTGAGGGATAAGGAGGTGAAGACGTGGTAAGGAGTGTGTGAAAGGGGAGTGTGAAGACGTGGTAAGGAGTGTGAAGACGAGGTAAGGAGTGTGAAAAGGGGATAAGGAGTGTGAAGACGTGGTAAGGAGTGTGAAGACGGGTTAAGGAGTGTGAAGACGTGGGAGGGAGTGTGAAGACGTGGTATGGAGTGTGAAGACGTGGGAGGGCGTGTGAAGACGTGGTAAGGAGTGTAAATGCGTCGGGGGGACTGTAATGTTACTGTTGGGTGGGGGGGGGACTTGAGGTACTGTTAGTGGGAAGGAGTGTAAGGAAGCTGAAGGGCATGTTAGGGCGTGATCCGGCTTAGGGTGTAATGCTTTTGTGAATCAAGAGTGTGTAAACTACAGTGGCAACCTCAAGTACACTGCATTGATTCTATCTATCTATCTGTCTATCTATCTATCTGTCAGTCAGTCTGTCTGTCTGTCTGTCTGTCTGTCTATCTATCTATCTATCTATCTATCTATCTATCTATCTATCTATCAATCAATCAGTCTGTCTGTCTGTCTGTCTGTCTGTCCATCCATCCATCCATCCATCTATCTATCTATCTATCTATCTATCTGTTTCTTCCATTTTGTCTATGTATATATGTATTTGTCTGTACATGCATATATACATTACATGCAACAATACATAGAAACGATGGATACAAATGGAGATGAAATGAAGGAGAACACAGACCTATAAGAGGTAAGTGGGAGATACGGAGCAGCAGGGAGAGTGGGCGTGTAAATAACCTTAGCAGAGACGTGGTACTCAAGTGAGGGCTGGAGGAGGGAGAGAGACACGGAATAGAGAGATCAGAGTAAAACAAAAAAACACACATTGACACTTATACATACATACATACATACATACATATATACATACATACATACATATATACATACATACATACATACATACATACATACATACATATCGAGAAAAGGTTGTGGTCATGTTTTCAACACACCGACAAAACCTCATTATGAAGACCAACAAAATTACGTTGTCGTAAAAAACGGGTTTCATAGTTTTTCTATTTTAAAGCGAAAATTCGATAAACTGAAAATGGTGTTTTTAGAGAGAGAGAGAGAGAGAGAGAGAGAGAGAGAGAGAGAGAGAGATACACTTGGGAACGTGGAACAATAACCCTAAAATATAGCCGTATGTATTTCACTATTATTGCTATCGTATTTCATAGACACTATCAACTACCACTAAAATAACCTTCAGTTTTAACATTGGTTTAGCGTTTTATTCTGTCTGGTTTATTTCATTGTTTTGCAGCGAGAGAGGTGAAGTACTGAGGCTCTCACAGGTGAACGGGAAAAGGAGAAAATGGTAGTTTGGTTCTCCTACAGTCCGGAGCTAATGTGGGATGTTACTGTGCTGGGTTAAGTAATCACATATACACGCAAACAGGTACAGTATATACACACCGTATAAGCGAACGTGCACACACACACACACACACACACACACACACACACAATACCTCGTGTCTCTCACAATCTTACAAGAGTCTCGTCGGAAGTGTAAAACTCACTTAAGATCACTCGGCCTCTGTTGTGCCGCTCGTAAAGGCTATTACT